GCAGTGATTTTTTCCATATTGCTAACACGCGTTTTCCTTTCTGCCTCTAGTATTTTCAAAACACTTGTCCAGTAACGGTTCATAAAACAACTGTGCTCACCTTATCAGCAAATCTTCTGAGAACTCCTTTTTTAAGTCCACTTGAACGTTCTCGCTGTATTACTGTAGAGTCATATGAACAACACTGAGTTTCCAGTGCATCTCCAGATAATTAGGAAGAAATAGTCTGAGCTTCAAAGTAGCTTGGAGAAAACTACAACTGGGAATGAAAGCCATGTACTTCCACAGATAAGGTGCACCCTCCAATCGCTTTGCTTCCAGGGAAGCATGTAACCTACCATAAGAAAGATACTTGTGTGTATCCCCCACAAATGGCCCACAACACAATAGGAAAATGACAAAATCACAACCACTGGCAACCAAAACAATAATAATGCTGCAGGAAAATCCCAGCTCCAGCCTGTACTTTGGAATTTCAGCCTGCCTGTATCTGCCCTTCCTTCCCCCAGGGAAAGCAGCAATAATGCCATGATTTCTTTCTTGTTTTGTTCATTCTGTTCACCAGAACGTCCAAGCAGGTTCAAGCATTTCTTTGAGGGCCTCAGGGACGTGTTCTATCCCATACTTAGAAGAATTCTGCTCATCTCTTGCTTAGGAACAATGTGACAAAGTAAGACAAAACCAAGCAGCTCTTGGAGAGCAGGAGCTAGGATCCTGGCTTTCAGTGCCTTCAAAGGCTGTGTGGATAGAAGTCCTACTTGCCTCCTAAGAAGCAAGTAGAAAGCAAGTTGCTTCCTCCTTTTTCAAGCAAAACTAAAACTTCACAGTCACAGAATCATGGAAAGATATGAGGTTGGAAGGGACATCTGGAGATCATCTAGTCCAACCCCCCTGCCAGAGCAAGTCCACCTACAGCAGGTTGCATGGGAATGTGTCCAGGCGGGTTTTGAATGTCTCCAGAGATGGAGACTCCAACACCTCCCTGGGCAGCCTGTTCCAGGGCTCTGCCACCCTCAAAGGAAAGAAGTTCCTCCTCATGATTAGATGGAACTTCCTTTGTTCAGGTTTGTGGTCATTACCTCTTCCCCTGTCACCAGGCACCACTGAAAAAAGACTAGCCCCATCCTCCTGACACCCACCCTTTAAGTATTTATAGGTGTTGATCAGATCTCCCCCTCAGTCTTCTTTTCTCTATACTAGAAAGACCCAAGTCCCTCAGCCTTTCCTCCTAAGAGAGGTCTTCTAGGCCCCTAATCATCTTTGTAGCCCTTTGCTGTACCCTCTCCATCAGTTCCCTGTCCTTCTTGAACTGGGGAGCCCAGAACTGGACACAGTACTCCAGATGCAGCCTCACCATGGTAGAGTAGAGGGGCAGGATAACCTCCCTAAATGCTGGCCACAGTCTTCTTGATACACCCAGGAATGGCATTGGCCTTCTTGGTCACAAGGCTACATTGCTGGCTCATGCTCATCCTGTTGTCCACCAGGACTCCCAGGTCTTTTTCCACAGAGCTGCTCTCCAGCATGTCAACCCCCAAACTATACTGGAGCATGGGGTTATTCCTCCCCAGGCGCAGCACCCTACACTTGCCCTTGTTGAATTTCATCAGGTTCCTCTCTGCCCAACTCTCCAGCCTGTCCAGGTCTCACTGTATGGCAGCACAGCCTTCTGGTGTGTCAGCCACCCCTCACGGTTTTATATCATCAGCAAACTTGCTGGTGGTACATTCCATCCCTTCTTCCAGCTCATTGATGAATATATTGAAGAGGACTGGACCCAGTCCTGACCCCTGGAGCACGCCACTTGTTATGGACCTCCAACTAGACTGTGTCACTAAATCACAGCCCTCTGAGCTCTGTCTTTCAGCCAGTTTTCAATCCACCCCACTGTCCATTCATCTAACTCACAATTCCTAAGCTTACCTATGAGGTTGCTGTGGGAGATGGTATTGAAAGCCTTGCTGAAGTCAAGGTAGACAACATCCACCACCCTCCCCTCATCTATCCATCCAGTCATGCCATCATGGAAGGCTATCAGCTTAGTCAGGCACGATTCCCATTTGTGAATCCTTGCTGACTACTTCTGATAGCTTTCTTTTCCTCCATATGCTTTGAGATGGTGCCCAGAACAAGCCGTTCCAACATCTTTCCAGGGATGGAGGTGAGGCTGACTGGCCCATAGTTTCCCGGGTCCTCCTTCTTGCCCTTTTGGAAGACTGGAGTGACACTGCCAGACCTCGGGTGCCTCACCTTTCTCCAGGACTTTTCAAAGATGATGCAGAGCGACCCAGCAATGACTTCTGCCAGCTCTGCCCAGAACAAGCCGTTCCAACATCTTTCCAGGGATGGAGGTGAGGCTGACTGGCCCATAGTTTCCCGGGTCCTCCTTCTTGCCCTTTTGGAAGACTGGAGTGACACTGCCAGACCTCGGGTGCCTCACCTTTCTCCAGGACTTTTCAAAGATGATGCAGAGCGACCCAGCAATGACTTCTGCCAGCTCCCTCAGCACTCATGGATGCATGCCATCACGACCCATGGGCTTGCAGATATCCAGTTGACTTAGCTTTTCTCCGGCTTGATCTTCCTCAACCACAGGGAAGTCTTCCTTTGTCCAGACTTTCTCTGTTACTTCCAAAGTCTGGGACTCCTGAGGGCCAGCCTGAGCAGTGAAGACTGGAGCAAAGAAGGCATTCATCATCTCCACCTTCTCTGCATCTTCTGTCACTGTGGCACCCGTCTCATTCAACAGTGGGCCCACATTTTCTCTAGTTTTCCTTTTGCCTCTGATATACTTGAAGAAACCCTTCTGATTCACCTTGATGTCCCTTGCTAGGGCCCTTGCCCTTAATTCCAAGGAGGCCTTGGCTTTCCTCGTTTCATCCCTTCATGCTATGACAGCATTCTTGTAATATTCCCAAGAGGTCAGTCCCTTCTTCCACGCACTGTAAACTTTCTTCTTCCACTTGAGCTTTTTCAGAAGCTCCCTGCTCAATCATGCAGATCTCCTGCTTCCCTTGCCTGATTTCTTGCTTTTAGTGACGCATCAATCCTGATCTCGGAGAAACTGGTATTTGAATACCAACCAGCTCTCTTGAGCCCCCCTGCCTTCCAGAGCTCTAACCCATGGGATTTCTCCAAGCAGTTTCTTGAAGAGGTCGAAGTTAGCCCTCCTGAAATCCAAGGTTTCAATCCTACCTGTTGTTTTGTGCATACTACCCACAACCCTGAACTTTATCTTTTCATGATCACTACAGTCAAGGCTGCCCCCAACCTTTATGTCCTCTACCAGTCCCTCTTTTAGTTTTTCAGAACTACGTCCAGTAGTAGACCTCTCCTTGTTGGCTCATCCACTACCTGAGTCAAAAAATTATCATCTATACACTAGAGGAACCTCCTGGACTGTATACACCTGGCTGTGTAGCCTTCCCAGCAGATACCAGGGTAATTGAAGCCCCCCATGAGAACCAAGGACTGTGACTGGAGGAACCTCCCAGACTGGAGTAGTAACTCCAGTCACTAAGTAACTGGAGATGAAGAAAAAGAAAAAAACCAAGAAGAAACCCTTTGTCACCAATGAAAGTGGGAGGCCAAACAGAGAGCCTAAGAAGAGATGAATACAGGACTCAGGCATGGAGACTTGACAATGTCTTAGCCAGTCCGCCACCCAGTTGAATTCTGCTCAGTGTCTTGCTACTGCTCCCTTCTTGCTAGGCTCCTGAAGACAAGGAACTTCCTGGACAATGGAGTAATTCTTGGAGGACAGAGAGTTAAGCCCATTCCCTCCCAGCACCAATGCTTTTTATGAAGCTGTCAATGCCCCTTGCAGTAGGTCCTGTCTGTGAGACAATTGGATCAGAAGGTTCCACCATCTCCTCTGAGGCCCTAAAGGACTGACATTGCCTTGTGAGAGATTTCTTCAGTTTGTTCCCTGGTTTTTGGGGTGAATCTCTGCTTGTGACCTGCAGACCTAACAGCTCTTGCTCCATGGGATCAGGTACGACTGTCTCCATTTACTTTCAAGAGGGATAATGGGAAGGAGCAAAAGTACTGCTCACTACTACTCTCTTTGTAGGAACACACAGTTAAAGCTTCTTTCCTTCCTTTCTCTCCAAAAGACTATTTGTGGATTTCTCTGCTGGAAAAAGTTTAATCTGTTAAATTTTGTCATCCAGTTCCAATGGAAATACAAGTGCAAACTGAACTGCAAAGTTCTAAAGTGACTAAGAGTGCAGAAAGGGGCGGAGGTTTGACATGTACAGTTTGACCTGGAACTGCCAAGCACTTTTAAGTAAGAATTCTCTGACAGTGTCCACTTGGGAACCTACTTACTGGAAACACTGACCCAGCAACAAAATTGAAGGGACTGCTATAATCTAGAGCACTGTAAGGAACACCATCCTGTGCATGCATGTAAATTCCTGACAGAATATTTTTTTTTCCAGTGCTTACTAAAAGCATACAGGTGTCTGGGGGAAATACCAGCATTCTCTCTTTTCAGAGGAAAAGCCCTCTACTTGATGAAATTCAAACTCCTTTTCAGAGGGAGCTTGCTTTTTTTGTGTTCGAAGTCGTTTTACATTCTTAGCCATAGACTGCCCTGCAGTGGTGAAACCAAAATCTGCAGCGTTACTGACTTTTATACAGGATCTTTTAACTTCCTTGTTTAGAAGTAGTTTGCCCATCAGTAGACAGGGGGACAAAAGGGACAGAAAGAGCCCGTGCAAACTACAGAACAAATGAAAAAACTGAAGCTAGGGAGATTTTACTCTGCAGTTTGGCTTTGTTTTGGCAGACAGCATCAACTTCTGTCCCACCTTACACATTAGGTCCTCCAGATATTTCTGGATCTTTCTGATATTTCAGTTTTTAATGAGCCAGAAACTGATACCCCAAAAATTTAGGAAATACGTCAGTTGACTTCCTGTAACTTGAAAATGAACTTTTCTTCTCTTTTAAAACTCAGGCTCATCAAGACGTCATGTGAATAAGTACAAACCCCATGCTTTTTGAAATATGCCTTTAATCATTCAGAGAAAATAATCTGATTATAAAGGTTATGCATTTAGAAGAATAAAAATTTGTGTTCTTGTTTTGTGCACAAATAAATAGAGCACAGTTTAAGAGTAGTCAAGGAAGTTTAAGAGTAGTCAAGGAAGATGAGAATGGTGCATAGTTGAATGCTGCTAGGTTTTTTCTCCTTCATTTTGATGTTAAGCTGATGGCCCTCTTCACACGGTTCAGAGTGCTCGCCTTGTCATTTTCTTCTGTACTCTGTGACTCACTGGATTGTGAGCTGCTGCATTCAGTGTCTTGACAGCTGCAGCTTTGCACAAATACATATTTATGTGAAATTGAATGCCCATTGGGACATTTGAGTTCCACACTCTGCACAGTAGTCTTTGATTCCCTGCAGCAGGAACAGCTGTGTTCCATAGAATTGGCCTCAGCAGAGTATCTGTCAACAAGGAAAACGACAACATTACTCTGTGCCAGAAGCCATCATACAGCGGAGAGGATGAAATTACGTACAGAACTCCTGTGAGAAGTTTGGAATAATATGTAGAAGAGCCACAGCTGTGGCTAATGAAAGTACTAAGCTCATCTGACAGGGCAGTGGTTATAACAACATGCTTTTAAAATTCATTTTATTTGCTGATTTTTTTTTTTCCTGATACAGCCATTAGTATCAAAGTCCTGGTAAAAAACTCCAGTGAGTTCTAGGAGCTCAGCTTCCTTAGATTCCTCTCTTTATGCCAGCACTTATGGATGTTAAATACATCACATCAACAATTAAGGGCAAACAAAGCCCTGACCTGACTAAGAAAACTGCATAAACAAGTGGCTACAATGGCATCACATCAATCAATTGGCTACAAAGGCTACAATTGTATCATGTGTATCAAAACGCTTATCTCCAACCAGGCAGTGTTAACAGGAAGGGAAAGCAGCAGCATTTTTTGTTCCTATCTCACAGCAAAGTATTTTTTGCAGCCTTGTGTTCATCAGCTTCCAAACTACCATTCCTAACCTGCAGAATCTGTCAATATCAGGCTATAAACTATGTCAAGAGCCACCTTTTTCTTGTATTTGTGTGCAGAGGCAACCACAGCAAGACTCTAAGATGATAAGGTATTTCAAAATACTAATAAATCCACTGGCTATTTGGGGTTCAGTCTAAGACTAAAGATCAGTTTTCTCCCATGTAAGGTGACTTGTGGCACATTCAGTGATAGGCAGCAAATGGCAGTTTCTTTGGGGAGTTAGAATTATGTTTTTCCAGTTTTAATAGCTCTCTACCAGGTGTTCTACAAGCCATCTTCTTGCAGCCACTTTCTTGTAGATTCTCTCATTTCAGAGAAAAATGAACAGTAAAACTACTCTACTAACACCACACCTAAAGCATTTGCTTTCTAATTTGTTTACTGTATAAAAATTTCATGTTTGAATCTTCCTTTAAAAGACCTATGTGTATTTAATTTTAGACGTTAATTATTGAGAACCAGCTTTTCAGCTTATTAGCATCAGTTCTGGTTGCTCTCTGGGCTCATTCCCGTTACAGGAATTAACCCATGTTCTTTTGTGGTGATTTCTAGCCAAGATGGCCTGACACAAATGACAGACAACCCAGCTTTTAATAAATAAATAGACCTTATCATAGCTGTCTGAATCCCAAGACAATTCAATACTTTTCTGCTTTGTATTAAGACAAATCAACTGTTCAGTGACAGATTTCATGATTTTGTGCCCATGATTTGGGGAGCTGACAGTTTCAGGTCTTCTACCATTCTGTAGTCTACCTATTTATTGTTCCTTTTATATAAACAAGCTCAGTGCCAGCAGATTTCAAATCTCATTGTCCAATCAGTTTACTTACAGCGAGAAGGTTCCACATGTTCCTTCACATTCAGTCAACAGAACTCTATCCACAGAACGGCAGCCCTTGTAGACGATAAAGTCTTTTCTCTGACGGACGGAGCATGGTGTGGGACTATCCAGGGGTGCACCTATAGGGCAAGATCAGAAAATACATTCAGTGAAATAGCTCCAGAAGTTCCTTATAGTTCAGCACTCTCTGGACTTCGCTAGTGCACTCAAAGAATTGTTTTAAGCAGTCTTTCTGTTTCAGCTTAAACTTTCCCAGAGAGATCAGACAGTGAATGCTTCGAATAACAAACAGAAATATAAATGTATCTATTTAAATACAAACTTATATGCCTCTATGGCTGGAAAAATGGGATGATTTAAGAAGATAATTTATTCTATGTATTGTTGATTCAGGTATACTTCCATACTTACAGGTTTTGCAACAACCATTAGGTAAGAATGCAATAGTTCCCTAAAAGAACAAAGAAACAGGAGAAATAATATTATTTTCTTTCCCTGTATTAAAGAAACTTATAGACCAATATCTGAGGAGAACAATTCCACAGAGGCTGGAAATGACCAGTGAAAACCGTAGCATTGTTCAGAATAAACAAAGATAACGGTTTCTTCCAGACTTGAAATCTATCAATTTACAAAGGATTGTGGAAATAAAGATAATCACAGATTTTCTGGGTGTGAGCAAGAAGTTGGGAGGGGACACAACTGGGACAGCTGACTCCAACTGACCAAAGGGACATTCCTGGCAATATGATGTCATGCTCAGCAATAACACTGGGGAAGTGGAGATGGCGGGGCCACCATTGCTCAGGGTCAGTTTGGGCATCACAGAATCACAGAATGATATGGAATTGGAAAGGACCTCTAGAGATCATCTAGTCCAATCCCCCTGCAATAATGCTTTGAAGGAAGTCCACAGTTAACATAATGTTTCCTCAGAAACAATTGCAAAAAACTTTTTCTCAGAGACTTCTATATTAGAATGGGGAGTATGCATGGTGTTACTGGCAGCCTATTGCTTGAACTTCTTCCATAACATTCAAGAAAACAATTCTTGTTCAGACTGCACAAAGCAGTCAGCAAGGACTTTGTATGTCAGTGCTGACCAGTGTTTTGGCTACTGAGAGACACCTGCCAGTTATAACAACTCTCATCCAGGTATCTTCTTTTATACACTCCCTAGGTCTGGGCATGGATGCAGCAGAAACTTTTGCCCTTGGGACTGAGAAACTTCGGTGAAAGGTCATCAGAGCTTAATTTGACTTTTGTTGCTAGTTAGGTGGCTACACTAAATGTAATCTATGCATTTAGTAGAGGGTAAGCTTTCCATATTTACTTACAGGTTTGCAGCTCTCCTCATTGAATGCTGGGCAGGTAATCTCAGATGTGGAAGAGATAAGCTGATTGTGGATATTTGAACAGCTATAAATGGTGCAGTTGTTGTAAGGATCATTTTTAAACTCTCCAGGCTGCAAGCAAAATACAAAATGTAGTAAGGAAAACTGAAGAGATCTCAGACAGAAGTTTTCCTGTCCTCTGACAATGACTTTCCTCTTGTTTCCCAGTCAATTATTTTCAGTTTAGCAGCCGTTCTGGATACGGATCATTACATGTATTGCAGTATGCCATATGTGGAGAGAATCTTCAGTTTTACATGGACATTCCCTTGGAAAAGAAAAACCTCTCTAAAGTATACAGAGTACATTAGAGTTATTTAAAAAAATTATGCATGCCAATGGATTTTGCCTAGGGAAAGCTAAACTGTTATGTGGTATTTAACAACAATCTTAAACTTTCACCCTACAGGGGCAATAAAACACTTTTGTACACAGGCTTTACTAGTGTTTTCCAGTACATAGAAATCGAAGAACACAGAAAAACCCCAAGCCTCCAGACATTGCAAGAAAAACCCCTCCAACTGTACTGGATTTATCATTCCAGGAAGAGCCTTTCAGAAAATTTGATTTCATGAGTCTTTCCTTCAGGCCAAAAAAATGTAGATGGGTTTTGCTTTAGATGAGCCTGTGACCTTTCAGATGCAAACTTACACTGAGCCTTATCTCTAACAAGGATATGTTCCCTTTCTGAAAGGGGAAACTTTACATCTTACACCTCTTCCATATTTGTGGAGCATACTTACACTCAAGATGAGGTCAGAACTGTTTGCTGTATGTATAACACACTTAGTCTGCACACATCTTCCACAACATTCACCTTTCACTGGTTGAAGTTCATAACCCTAGATATTAAAATTAATTAAAAATGAAAGCACTATGATAGATGCATTTTTGAGAAATACATTGAAACATAGGAACCCCTAACTGGTTATGCTTCGAAGTGTACTCTAGATTTGTGGCTCACTGTGCCTTTTTGTGTTCCAACCCAAGGGAAGACAAGTAATAAAAGCAAGCTATAGATGGAATAAAGTATAGCACTATAATAAAATTAACTAATAATTAACTATTACTCCATTAAGTGCTCTACAGAAATTTCCCAGCTAATTCCCACAACGTGAACTCAACACTGTAAATTACACAGTCTAGCTTCATGCAATAGATTGCTCAAGGACAGTTGCTATCCGTGCTGGAGTTAGACTCTGGATTTCTGCTCCCTGACTTTGCTTATACCACTCTTTGGTCAAACTGCTTTTCACATACATGGGTGTCTTAGGGGATTTTTTATTTGTTTTAAGTTTGTTACTTACTGGTTTACAATATATGTTGCATGGAATATGTTCACATGAGATGATATTCAGTTGGGTGCTGACGTTAACTTCATTAGTGCAGAAACAATTCTGACACTTATCAACAAAGACTGAGGAATTAGGCTATAAATTTTAAGGGAAAAAAAGGGTTCGTAAATTAGTGAGATATAACACACATTTCTTAATTCTGGAAAAATCTGTAAACCAGGTACTGGAAAAGGAAACAATCATAATCATATCCATTGGATAGCTATTTGGCAAGCCATTTATGAAAACAACATTTTAAATACTGAATTTCATTTAACATGTCTTCATTGAAGTCCTTTATAGCAATGATAAACTCAATATTAAAAAGAAAATGTCATACAAATATATGCAATAAAACAATTACTAGACCCAACAGAATCTATTAAGAATCTAAGTCTGTTTAGAATAATACTTATTTATAAATCTTTTCATTTTTGAAAGCAGAGTTTTAAAACAGCAGTAGCATGCTGACAGTAAATGTGAACTGACTTTTTAAAATACACACACACTTAACTCTAAATCCAAATGTCTTTCTGATACTGACGTACAAACAGTTCTTCAGTCTCTTATGTATACAGTAAGCTTTTCAGAAATGTTTAGGCTTTATGAAATCAATGAACTCCTGATGGGAATTTAAAAATTTTTAAAATAGTGATTCTACTAGGTAAAACTCCCCATAGCACTTTTAAAACGTTTTCAGAAGACTGTTGAAATAGGAACTTACCAAGAACTCAGCATTCTGATGTACACAAACCTTCTTGGGAACTGTTGACAAGCAAGGATTTAGGTGGTTACATAGGGGGACAAAAAAGGTCTTCACCCCACTCTAGTCAAACTTATTTCTTTCACAATGAAACACAATGTGTATGGTCAAATACACTGGATAATCTCCATTTCTCAGAGCTGATAACGGCATACTTAAAATACAACAACAAATACTGCATGTGCAAGAAGGGGGGAAGATTTAGCCCAATTTATGCAGTTGCGTTCACAGCCAAGAATGTTCACTTAACAGATACAAGTAGTTTCTTCTTTCAATTACCAAGAAAAAAGCAGACTATGCAAAGCTATCTTTTATTGGGTGTTCTTAGATGGATACTTTGCTAGATTAATCTAAGATCACTGTCCCAGTTAATTCTGCAGCTGTTCTTACATGTACTTACAACCAGGAAAATTGAACTTGAACCACGTGAGCTATATCTGATTTCATAGTTGTTTAATATAACCATAGCAGTAGTAACTAATGTTAATAGTACCCAATTTGTAAAATCTGATTGTGTTATTACCTCTTTTAATATGCTACTGCATACAGTCTTACTAAGTATTCAATATATAATGCCAATCATTGAAATATATTTCCAAGGGACTTACCACACTGGTACACAGGACAGCACTGACCACTGGGAATATGAGAATGAACTTCAAATCCCAGTTCACATTTAGGGGCCTTAGCTGTGCACAAGCTTGTATTACATTCTGAAAAAAAAAAAAAAAAAAAAAAAAAAAAAAAAAAAAAAAAAAACACATTTTACTTTTGTTTTATGAATTTACACATATCCCAAAGCAACAAAATAGTCATTTTTTGAAGGAAAAAAAAATATTTTCTTTGCCTCCAATCTGGCTTTTTCCCTACCTGCTTGCTATTGCAAAATACTTAGCTTCTAATAAAAAAAAAAAAAAAAAAAAAAGGAATAAAGCCAGAAAGTACACTAAATCATGGCTACTAGAAATAGGCATCTATCAAAGCATGAAGGGTAAACTTTTCATTACTAGGTAACAGTCTCCAGACCCTCTCCAAAGAAATGAATTCCAGAGAGAGACCACATTTTTCCTAGTGAGTCCAGGCACTGGATTGACGTACTGCACTAGTTTCTAAATTTTTTTCTACTATGTAATTACCAAGTGTTTAAAAAGTATCATAATTCTTTGCAGAGTAGTAGTGGACAACTGTTACGCTCTCCAAGGTTGTATGCAACTGATGCAAAATGAAAATCCACATAGAATTCCATAATCTATCTCCATTTTACTTAAATAAAATGTTGTCCTGAACTCAAGAACCATATATTCAGTTATGTTGAGTCCCATAATTGTAAAGTCAGTTATGCTGAGTCACTGCAATATTAAAATGTATTTTACCTAACACTGCGCAAGCTGATTTTAAAAAAGCATGAGGAAAGATACTCCCTGCTGCAGGTCTCTGGTGCTAAAACAGTTGTCTTTTCCTTTCTATTCCTAGAAGGTATATAAAGACCAGTAACAAAAGTATAAACTCACTGCAGGTGACAATGGGGCAGCAAGAGTCTTCAGAATTGACTTCATTGACCTCATAGAACCCTTCTCCATCACAACCGGTCTTATTTTGTTCGGCACAGACATGAGGCTCACACACAATGCCATTTCCACCTTCCAGGCAAATACAGTCTTGACAGTTTACTGTAAACTTTTCCCCAAACTGTTAGTAAAGAAAATCAAGTGAGTGATTGCATGGTTACCAATTAAAAAGAACAAAAGTAAAAACAGGAATGAAAAGCTGGGAGACCACAAAACAAGACTGCACCAGTGGAGACCACTCTCCCCATCCCCAGCCTCTACTTGAAATACAAAAGCGTATGCCAGCATACCTCTCTTGGTACCTTATCCACTCCAACACAGCCTGTGAAAATATCAAAATTTATTTCCATTACTACTCATACAACATATAGTAGAGACATCTACTGTTACATAAGTACTGCATACAGTCAGATCTATGGTGCATATATGAGAAGGAAAAAAACAAAGAGAAAATAAACATGCATCCAAGTGAAGCAGTAAAACTCACCACAAGTTTTCACACAGACATCCACAGCAGGGTCATACAACATTGTTCCATTAGGACAGAAACAACCTTCCACATATTTAGTTGAAGTTTCGTTTTGTTGACTGTATTGGACAAAATGTTCAGAGAATCCCATTATTGTCATACGCAAGCAGAGGAAGATTATGCCAAATAATCTTTCACTAAAGATACAGTGGCAAATGATCTACACATTTGCGATTTAGGAATTGTCAGTGTTCATGTTTGGTATAGTCAAACAACATAAACAGTACAGGCACCCAGATTTAGCATCAAGAGTACAGTGGTACCAAATTTGACAGTGAGTTTAAGACATCAAAGGAGGTTGATTTCTCTCATCCACCTATGCATTGGATATGGCTAAATGGTTGTATGAGCTATAACTACCAGTGAAGGAATAATTTACCTTGATTTGCAGGTTGTCTCTTTAATAGGACCACATGCTCTGTATTCTTTATGTGAGGGGCATTTATAAGCTGGAATGGAAAAATAAAAAGGAGGAAGAACTCAGTCATATAAAAGTCCTATGATATTATGCCAAGAAATTAAACACTGACTACTCATTCTCCTATGTATCTTTGACGATCTTGAGAAGCAAAGAGAAAAAAATCACAAACAAACAAAACCAACCAGAAAAAACCACCCCCAAACAGATACCAGACTCATGTCTCTGAGTGGAATTATTTTATGCAATCTAACCATAGAGATATAACATCATACTTTACATTAAGGAGATAAAGGCAAAAGTCTACATCTTGATTGCATTTTTTTTTTTCATAATTTTGGTCTCTTTTGCAAAAGTTCTCAAAGGGGAGTGTATTCCTAACCCCTTGTCCTCTTCTTACTACAGCTTAAAATTATTGCATATGTCACTAAATGCAGAGTGATCTGCTGATGCCTGCAAAACAAAAAACTCCCTGCATACGAAGAAGTATCTACTGCTACAGATGTTTCTGGCACAGTCAATAGATGTATATTTTTGCAGCTGCATTTATAATTTCCATTATTAAAAATGTTACCTGTAAAATTACTGAAGAAAAGCAGCTGTTGTAATTTGTTGGTGTCTTCATTTCTCGGGAAGCAATGTGACTTACCATTAGGGTATTACCACCAAAAAAATTCCACAGAAGATTCAAGATAAATGACCAAATACTTACAGCAAACACCATTGGTATGACTTCTCCAGTCAATGCAAACACCTTGATCAGCACAGGTGGCAGCATAGGTCTGCAGACTTGAGCATTCCAGGTCTAAGCTGGGAAGTACACAGCTATCAAAAACGCAGGCTGAATAGTACTTTTCAGGCCGGACAAAGCTATGGCACGGCTCAAACACACTAGAAACAGAAACATTTATCATTATTAGTTACTGTATAGTCCATGAATTCTTCAGTGTGCTTGACTTGTTATAATGTGGCAACAGTGGTACTTAAGGAGATGTGAACAAGGACTATTACTGAGAGATTGTTACTAAGAGCACTTACCGAGATTGTAACCTTTCAAGCTACCTTAAAGTATTCAAGTATTCTCCCCTCACCTACAAAACACTCAGGCACCAATATTTTCTGTCCAGAAGCTACATGAATGTTATGGAGTGCAACCATGAACTATTTTTCTAAAGACTTTTTTTTTTTTTTTTTACTTCTGGCACAACATTCTAAAAATTAAGATTTCTGTTTTCACCTGGACTCTGTCTTCTGCTAAGTTAGTGTGAGAAAAGGCAAATGCATAGGTCAGTGGAGGGCAGAGACCATAAAAGAATGTAAGAATATCAAGAAAGGCTAATGGAGCAGTCAGAGGGTTGGAAGCAAACTATCAGCAAAGAATAACATCTAGAAACAGTAAAAGAAATGGAAGCAACGCACAAAGCTACAATAAATGGAGGAGTAGTTAGAAACACTTTTTATTGAGAACTGATCCCTAAAATTGCACTTAATTTGAAGATCAAAGGCTTATAGACCCCAGAGGAATGTTTACCTTCCCAAAAGAAGCTCGCAGATGGAAGATTCTTTACAAGGCTGCATTGTGGTTGTGCTAGGTGCTTTTGTAGGATTTAGGCCTGGAGAGCACTGTGGTTTGGAGGAATCATTAACTTGCCAATGGTCTGCCATGGTCTCACAGTTTTCTGCAATTTTTCCATCTGGCAACATGCAGTCATCTGCTGTGTTGTTATTGCAAGTACCTAAAATTGGTAAGGGGAAAAAGAATTCTCTCACAGATTTGTTACCAAATTTCATTAATCTTTGTAGCAGGGTTGTTATTTATCTGTTTGTGGTTTTCAGAGAGCATAAAATTTACAAGAGTAAGCCTTACCACACTGTCCTTGAGTGTTGTTGCCAAACAAGCTGTAGGGCATTCGGATAGAAAAGGACAAGCCATTGAAGGTCACATTAATTTTCAGTTCAGGAATTTCCACAACACGATTTATGCCTGATTCATAGACGCTTACGCCAAATTTTTTATAAGGTAAAGCCACTGCCTGTTTGTTTACTGTCACCTAATAAATAAAAGAAGACAGAAAAGAGACATCTATTTAGTTTGACTTCAGAAAACAATTGACTGTTTGTTACTTTGCATTGGAGATAGAATGTAAGGGCAAAACAAATGTCCCTGTGTTTCATTGCATGTTACTGGAAGTCAAACTTTTCTTCTCTGAGCCAAATAAAAGACCTATCAGCCACTGACAAACTAAGCTAAAATTCAGAGTTTAAACCAGCTAAATTCAACAGATTTATTAGGGTGACTATGGCATTGAGGACACCCCATGAAAATACAATATAGAATTCTCCTAAATTCCTAGTGCACACAGTTTTAACGTATTTGGCAGAAATTATTTGTAGGAAAATTAAATGAAAGAAATCAGCTAAAATCTGTATTATTTATTTAAATACAGTAGTCATGATATAACTATGGAACTAACACTGCTACTTTTACTCAACAATGATAGATTTCCTTGCTTTGGAGAAAAAATGAGTCTAAATGTTGTAAAATTTCAACAATATGCTGCAATCTAACTTGTAACATTCCCACACAGTAATGTACAAAAATAAACCAAACAAACCCCACAAAAACCTAAAACCAAATACTTCTCACCCAATTTTGAAACCCCATAGCTGGGCATCACATTTGTCAAAGGCATAAAGATACAAGAGTTGTTATTCTGAAAAAATTCAAAATGTGACACCAATCACTAGTAATGGCACTTTTAAAAAACGCTTAAGCCCCGTACTTTATTGTTATGACTAGTTTATGTTGTATCCTCCATTCAATATTCATTCACTTCCTTAGTTACATTAGTACTAACTCTAATTGAATTTATTTTATATTCATAACTATTAGCAATTTGTCCACTTTTATGTATTTAGAAGAGGTAAATCACTGAAAAAATTTGAGATAGAAAAAGGAAGAACTTGTAGAAATTTTCCCCCATATTCAGAGTCAAAAAAGCAGTCCTATTTTAAAGTCCAAACTGGTATTAAATCTAAAACACGGATTCTTTTTTAATGTTTTTTTTTTCCTAACATTGCAAATATAATTATCAGGTTGATATCAGTATTGACACAGGTTGATGCTGCATTAATATTTTAACCAAGATATCAAAGGTAATATTTTCCAGTACCTCTACTTGGAAAGTATTTGGTCTGACTGTTGCTATGCGCACTTCCTGAGTTTCATGTCTCACAATGAGCGCTCGAGGACAGGAGACTACATCCCGTGTGTCACAATGGTAGTTATCAATGTAGATACCAAAGTCATCAACTTTCTTCTGAATCTCTTCCACAAGGATGTATGTACAATTCCCTTGATAGCTGTAGTAGTGTCCATCAAAAGTCATGTAATGCGGGTCTCCCCAGCCAGTGCAGTAGCCTACAAAAACATACAGGAAGGTTAGCTTCTTATGGCAACATCAGAATCAAATTAGGCTACGAACAAAATCTATAGGTGTGGGATTCATGTCATTTAACTTTAGGCATTTAAATTTTTTAAGTACATAGGTCAATGCATGAGCTCATTATCTAGAACTCGTCAATAATAGAGAAAAACACGCACTTTCAGGGAACTGTTAATCTGATTTATTTCTGATAGACAACTGAGAATAGGATTAACCTAACCCTTGATATACCTTTACTGATAGTCTGAACATGTAATTTATATGTAGGGTTCTAGCCTATAGAGGCCTGCATCTCAACAGTAAAATCCTGCCTCGGGAGACCAATTTATTCTACTAGCACAATAGCTGTGTAGAAATGATTGCAAAATGTGTAAAAGCCCCCACTCGTCTTAAAAGAATCAATGAAGGACTCCGAAGAGACCAATACTGGAAGTCTGAGAGTTACAGCCTTGTGCTATACTCGTCCCCTGATAAATATTGCTGCTCTTGACACTTGTACTGTTCCCACAGAAGATAAATTACTCAAAAAAATATATACTTACAGTCACACTCCCAGTGCCAACAGCATCCATCCTTATCAATGACTGGCACAGGAGAAAGCCCATTGGTACATGTTGGTTTAGGAGGCGGATTACAGATTATGGGAACCACCTGGATTATATTGTCTTCTATACATATTGCGTTAGTGCAGTTACAGAGCCACCATGACTCACCTGGCTGTGTTTGGAAAGAGAGGGGGAGAAGGAAGAGAGAGAGAAATTTTATGAAGCAGTCAGGCTGACAACAGTTATACCTGAATACCTTTCACAAAGTTTTAAAATGGCATATGTTTATTGACAATTTTTTCCTCAACAGAAGTTATCTGAAAGTTACATGTCCGATCTAATCTCATCACCTACAGCCCCTTTCTAATCAACAAAGAAAGACACCGATCAGTATCAGTGATCAATATATGATCAATCCCCTTCCATGAATGCCTAGAAGAGATTAACAGCTAAATCTACAGTCACATCAGCTATTTGGGGAGTAATGTCTAAGGTGATTAGGTGCATGCATTGTGACAGAATGCATTTTTCCTATTTTCCACCAGTTTTTCAGCCATGTATAATTTTTATCCTTGCAGATTTACTGAGCAAATCAGCAGATATCTAAAGTGTGAGGAGGCTTTAAAAATGTATAAAACATTAGCTTGTTTGTGTCAGACGTGAAGGTTACTAAAACCCCAGAATTGTGAGTCAAACTTCACCAGCATTTGAACGTGGTGATCTGTTTTCCAGTCCTCTCCTGAAACCAGACTACAACCAAGCATGACTCATTCCAAATGCAGACTAGTTCAACCCTATGGTTTCTTGTTGGGCTGCTCTATAAACACACAACTTTTCCCCACTCTGGACCTATTCAAAAGCAGAAACAGAAAAGATAATTTAGCACCGCTTAGCCCTTGGTTATATCTTCATCAAAGCTATCCTACAATAAAGTGAAACATTGAGGAGTGACCAAATTCCTTGAAGAAAGCAATTTTAAAACTATCCTTGAAGAACTACTAGCAGTATATAAGCTGTCAAAAGAAGAATCATTGGAAGTTATGCTGATACCCAAGAAAGCAAAAAGAAATAGAACAGACTAATACTTCCTTTTCTAGCCAGAATAATACATAATCTGTATGCTACTAATATTCAAATTATGTGCTAATCTCCATCCAAAGAAGAATACTAAAAAAACTCATAAAATCTACTCACTGCATAAGATTCATTAGGTGAAATGGAACAGTTTTTTCCAGGAGTGGATGATGGTAGACGTGTAGTTGAGCTTGAAGGACTGAGTGGTGTGACTGTACTGTGTGTAGAACCTCCTGAAGTAGTGACTGCACTTGATGTTGCAGTAGGCCCAGAAGTACTAGTTGAGCCAGTAGAAACAATTTCAGAGGAGGTGATGGTGGTTGCAGTGACTGTGGTAAAATTTCTAGAGGTTGTTCCCGAAGTGGTGGTAAAAGATTGTGTTGGAGTTGTACCAGAGGTGGTGACAGATGTGGGGGTTGTTGATACAGTTGGAAGAGTTACAGTAGTACTTGCTGTGGCCACTGAGGTTGTGGTGGTGACGGTGGTGGTCTGTGACCC